ATCCCGTAGGCCTTGCCGAAAGGCCCGTACAGGGAGTTCAGTAACTGCAGGGCTCGAGCGACGGAATTGATCCAGCGGTGATCTCCCTCCTGCAGGGACGACGAGACGTCAGGGAGCCAGTCTGGGCAGGCTGGCTGGGGAACGACTGCCACGTCGGGGGACCCGGCTGGAGATGGACTGGGGATGGAGCGGGCCCTGGGCTTGGCACTTCCAGGAGGAACGTGCACAGGAACATGCCGGGATGCCCCGAAGCTGCTCGGGAGGGAGCAGAGGAGGGGCCAGCACGGGGGTGGCTGCGTGTGGAGGAGAGGCATCACAGCCCGTCAGAGTAGCTGCCCCCGGTAAAAGCCACCCTGGGACAGCAGACAAGGGCCTGCGGCAAGGGCTGAGGGGGCTGAGCAGGACATCACGCATCAGCTCTCTGAACAAAGCTTTTCTGTCCTGAGCCCAACAGACAAGCAAGGGAAAGGCTGCCACCCCGCAGGGCAACGTCCTGGCAGCATCGTCCCACTGACCAAGAAGTAGTCGCGAAAGAATTCGGGCAGCTCCATGCTGATGATGTCTTCGTCCAGGGGGAGCAGGTAGAAGGACCATTCATCGCAGGTGACATCTGAGTTTCGGACAGGGAAAGGTGACAGTTACCCAGCCCTCGGCAGAAACAGCCCCAAGAATCACAACAGCCCCGCAAACAGGGGTGTGGGGAGCAGAGAGATGGGGCCTTTCCACAGGGATTCGTGGCACGACCCTCTCTCCTCCCAGGAAACAGAGGAGGGGTGCCGACGCTGCGGCGTGCACACGCCTGCCTGCAGGCAGACAGTCAGGCTCGAGGGAACTTCTGGTTCCTGCCCACACCCCCGTCCCTGCCAGCACAGGGATCCCAGTACTGGGATTCAACTGGGATTGTGCGGCGTCAGAGCTACGGCGAGCCAGCCCTCGGGGAGGGGAAGGGGCAGGCACCACAGCCCCACTCACCACCAAAGACTCCCTCTTCCTCCAGCACCATCTCGCAAGCATAAAACTGGAAGAGAAGGAGAGACCCTCAGGGCCCAGCCGGGCTCCAAGCACGCAGAAAAGATCTGGCGATGGAGGGGATCAGCTCATTCCCAGGCATCGCAACATTTGGTTTTAATTAAACATTCCTGGGTTAGAAATGAAGAACTTCTGGTGTCCGTAGAAGGGGCGGAAGGCTCGAAGGCCGGGCAGACACAGAGTGACGGGGTAACCGGCAGCAGAGTGCAGCCAGACTGACCTTTTGGGGGCTGAAGATAATCTTGTACTTCCTGTTCCTCCCCGACATCTTGTCAGCATTGACAATATCTGCGGACAAAAAACGCGCAGACTCTGCAAAGGCTGCCCACCCCCCTGAACTGGCACAACTCCTCTTATCTGATGAGGTCCAGGGTCCCACATCTCACAGGACCCGAAATGCCTCAGGCAGAGAGAAAAACTCTGGGCACAGGGCCTGTCTGCCAAGGCTGTGGACTCGCCGAAAGCCCTTCTCCAGCCCACTCGACACCGGTAGCCCAGGGCACCGGCCCTCAGCCCATGCAGTGTGGGATGCTCCGCACACCCATGTGTGCCGAGGCAGCTGCAGCCCGAGCCTCAGTGCGGGGCTGAGGCATCACCCATCGACAGCGGGTGACGGACAACTGCCCCTCGGCCGCTCGCACTCACCAGCGATGTACCTCATCGTCTTGATCCGTGGCCGAACGAGGAAGCAGAACCTGCCATCACAGAGCGACGGAGGGGAGTCAGAGGCCTCTTGCGCCCGGCCCTGCCTTCCCCGGCCCCTTTCCTTCAGCATCTCTGCCCTGGGACCCGTCCGGTCCAGCGCAGCCAAATCCTGAGCCGGCAGCTGGAAG